TTACATACCTACTTAATTACATACTGACTTTACTTACTTACTTTACTCTACTTTACGTTACGTTACGTTACTTTACTTTACTTTACCTGACTTACTTACTTACTTACTTACTTACTTACTTTACTTACTTACTTTACTTACTTACTTGCTTGACGTACTTTACTACTTATTTTACTTACTTACTTACTTCCTTACTTACTTCTTACGTACTTACTTACTTTCTTACTTACTTACTTACTTACTTACTTACTGACCTACTTACTTACTTACTTTCCTTCACTCACTTACTTATTTACTTACTTATTGACATACTTACTTACTTTACTTACTTATTTACTTACTTACTTACTTGCTTAACTAACTAACTTACTTACTTACTTACTTACGTAAGTAAGTAAGTAACTAACTAACTAACTTACTTACTTTTTTAACTTTACTTTGCTTTACGTTACGTTACTTTACTTTACTTTACTTTACCTTACTTACTTACTTACTTACTTACATACTTGCTTGACTTACTTTACTTATTTTACTTACTTACTTACTTACTTACTTACTTACTGACTTACTGACTTTACTTACTCACTTTTTTTTTTACTTACTTTATTTACTTGCTTACTTACTTTACTTAGTTAGTTTTTTTCTTATTTACTTACTTACTTACTTACTTACTTACTTACTTACTTACTTAACTTACTTACCTTACTTACTTACTTACTTACTTACTTACTGGACTTACTTACGTTACTTGCTTACTTACTTACTTAGTTACTTACTTACCTACTTACTTACTTGCTTACTTATTTACTTACTTAGTTACATACTTTACTTTACTTACTTTACTTTCTTTACATACTTTACTTACTTTACTTACAATACTTACATTACTTACTTACTTACTCACTCACTCACTTACTTACTTACTTACTCACTCACTCACTCACTTACTTACTTACTTACTTCCTTACTTAACTTACGTGCGTGCGTGCTTGCTTACTTCCTTAGTTCCTTACTTCCTTACTTCCTTACTTCCTTACTTCCTCACTCACTCACTCACTCACTCACTCACTCACTCACTCACATACTTTCATTGTACATATTCATGTAACTGTTTGTTGGGTAAAGGTGGTGCGTTCACTGGCGCAAGTTGAGCGTTTCAAAGCGCAATCCGGAAACAGTGATAGGTGAGGCTCGCGCAATGTGTTGATTGCTCAGGCCGACAGCAGATTCACATCCGCAAGATGATGTTCAAGGTGAAAAGAGGAATGCCCTTGACTCGATGGACTTTGCGCATGGTGGGGTTTCGTCTCACCTTTCCAGTGTTGAAATGCTGGTTGGCAAGCGCTCGCAGTTTTAGATTGACACCAATAATTTTTTAGCTGTTCAGCTGAGCTTTGACAAGTGAGCGTTGCAGAGTTTATTGGTATTGTGATCCATCCTAGGTGGCGACTTGGGAATTGATGCAGGAATTGGAAGATTTGACTGTGCAGGCGGGCCATCCCAGCTGTGTTCGATGTTGTTGGCCGTTGGTTGCAACCGCTAGCTGCTAGGTAGCGAAGTCTTTAAAGGAGGAACGAAAAATGTGTGGTGATGCTGTTGAACACCCTTTCATTGCTCAAGATTTGGCAGGCAATAGCAAATTTCCCAAGTTTCCCGAACACACACATGGTTGTGAAGCGAATTGCCTCAGAGGTTCGGCCCCTGTGCAAGTGCTAGGCCGGCCCATCTTTAGGGATTCTCAAAGAGCAAGCTTTGGGCTCCCAGGCGCGGAATCATGTTCATGCTGCCGGCGTAGCTGCCTCCCTCCCACAAAAAACGCAAATCACCAACCGCAGTTCAATGTTTGTTTTGGAGCTTCCATATTTCCAGCCTGGCAGATCGATGGTCATGTGCTGGAAGCTCCGGAGGTCTTGAGGCTCAGGCCGGGCTTCTCCGTGATGTGGCGCATGATCGCAGTTGGATTTTTGAACAGATTTGTTTCTATCGTTTTGTACTGCTTAGTCAATGCGGTTCCCAACCACCTGGCCGCCTGGTCATCGGTGAGCCATAACGACCTGCGTAAACAGGTTGCCGACAAAAATATCATTTGGGCCTTTTTAGGTGGCAATACGGAGGTTATGAGGGTGTTGGGCTCGGCTCTGCTGGCAGGCTTGATGCCATCAAATGGCTTGCCCTGCCACGTTTGTATGTATACAGTTTCGACACCTGTTGTTCTTTGTTGGATGATGGACGTCGGTTTTGTTCGAGGTTTTTGTGCTGTTCCAATGAAGAAGTAAAGCTGCGTGCTTTTGATTGCCACGGCTCGAAACTAGATGGGGCCATGCCAGGATAAGCAGCCAGCTTGACGCTTAGAATCTTAGAGCTCCATTTTGTTCTGAGTTGATATTCGGTGATATTGGGAGAGCCAGTCGCGGTTGGGTGAGTAGATGGCCCCTGTTTTTGATGATGGCAAAATGCTAACGAGAGTTGGAAGTCAACCTTCGCTTCTTGGCCACTCGAGATTTGTTGCCTTCGGCTTTCGCGATGAGTGGCTGGCAGATGCAAGGGGCCCAGATCTCAAAGGCCGGCCGGAGTCAGCAGCTCATGTTTGTGTCATTGGACTGGCCTTTCGAACTGGAGGTCATTCTCTATATGGACCGGTTGGCGGTGCAAATGCACCAGAGCCAGGGATGCCCAGGTCAAACTTAGCTGACTTAGCCCAAGTCATTTGGGGCATTCTTACACAGAAAGGTGCGTGTGTTTACCATTTGGAGCTCTGAGTGGCCTCCAGGTCCCAACTTTATTCCATTGGGCTTGGTCGCAGGCTTAGAGTCTAGAGCTTTATCAGAGCCCAGTCAAAACATGATTTTTCAGTGCCCCTTGCGGGGCTGATTTCCTTGCTTCCTTATGCTTCCTTGTGTTTCCTTGCTTGCTTCCTTCGCTGCTTCCCTGCTTCCCTTGCTTGCTGCCTTGGTCGCTGCCTTGATTGCTTCCTCCCTCGCATCCTTCCTTGCCTTCTTCTGTGCTTCATGACTAGCGGAGAAATCAATAAACAACAAACAGGAGGAAGAAGCAGAAAGAAGAAGAAACATGAAGAAGAAACAGGAAGAAAAAGAAGAAGAAGGAGGAAGAAGAAGCAGAAAGAAGCAAGAAGGAGGAAGGAGGAAGGAAGAAGGAATAGTGAAGAATGAAGAAGGAAGGAGGAAGAAGGCAGAAGGCAGAAGGCAGAAGGAAGAAGGAAGAAGGAAAATGGAAGGAGGAAGAAGGAAGAAGGAATAAAAGTAATAGGAAGAAGACGAAGAAGAAGGAGAACAAGAAGAAGAAGAAGAAGAAGAAGAAGAAGGAAAAGGAGAAGAAGAAGAAGGAAGAAGAAGAAGAGGAAGAAGAAGAATAAGCAGAAAGAAGAAACAAAAATACAAAGAACAAAAATATGAAGAATAATAAGACTCCTGATAATAAGAAGAAAAGAGGAAGAATAGGAAAAAGAGGAAGGACAGGACGAAAACGAAGAGGAAGAACACCACTAAGGATAATAGTCATAGTAATGGTAAAGAGGAGCAAACATGCAGAAAACAACAAAACAATGACCAATTAAACACATCCACAGAAACATCCAATATCTCAAAACACACATTCCAAGAAGAGGTGTCTTCCCTTGCTAATGACCACTGTCACAGGCCCTTGAAAACGCACTGGCCGAAACTACATGAGGGTGTTACATTCATCCTGACCAGGTGCCAAATAGCAGCAGTGCAGAGGTCCAAGCGGCCGTGGAGGTGAGAGGAAGATGGGTGTGCAAAAGGTAGGGGTACAGAGGTGCGTCAGCAGGCGGTTGGTCTTGCCCTATTCAGCCCTATTCCGAGTTTTTTAATTTACAGTAGCAGTGCAGGGACCCATCCGTCCGTCCGTCCATTCATCCACCCATCCGTCTGTCTCGATCTATCAATCTATCGGTTGGCTTGGCTGTAAAAACAAGTTGCCCTGATAGAGGCTGCTACCATTTGTCCGTTTGGACCTGTGCAGACCATGGGCAGCCACCACCTGTGGCTTGCAGCGATCATGATCGCCTTGAAGATGCCGGGAAGCTGGGTGTGGTGCGGGCTCGTGCCAAGGCAAAAGGCACCTCCACATCCGTGGACAAGACATACATAGGGATATATATATATAGTTTCCGTGTCATTCTTTGCTTCGCGCCATCGAAACCAGCGTGAGTGTGAGGTCAGAAGCGGAATCTGAACTGGCCCGGACCTTTGATGTTTCGATAGTTCTGCGGACTGATTGGGGCGGGCAGTTGAACAGAAAATAACACCACCCCATAGCTGAGCATTAGTCTGGGTCAGGAGTCAGGACCTTAGAAATCCTTCACTGTTCATGTCAGTGTTGTTCTTAATCCCACCGGCCTCCCAATCCCATAACAAGGTTTCTGTGACACTCTCATAGTCGGGCTTTGAACTCTTCTCCCGTCAAGAAAGGACACCAGCATTAAAGACCTCGTCGTGCCGCTTGCCGGAGTCCCAGGTCAAGCAAAAGGGCGAGCTTAGCTTTGGCCAAGCAGAATTGAAAAATAGAACAAAATATACGGTACTGTAGTAGAAACAATTGAACCTCACATGTGGTCCACACAAATGAACACATTTGCCGAGCTTAGCTCTCGGCTGCTCGTCAGCTTCTTGACGCGTGAGGTGCCCTTTGACGCGAATGGGCTGAAGTGCAGTCGGCAAAAGCACTGCGCTTAACGGAATACGTAAGCTGCACTGGTACATGCATTGAATCCTGAACATTTTGAGCATTCGGCCGGACCCAATGCACTGAGGTGGAAAAAGATCCAGCTGACTGAGCTTTTTGTAGTTCGTGAACTGGACCACTGTCGCTTGCTTGTCACTTGAGTTCACAGAAGTGGGTAGGAAAGAAAGAAACTTGTCGGTAAACTGCTTGCAATTTTTTCACACTAACATGCGCCCTGTTGTTTGTGTAACCTTTGCATGGCGAGCTTCGTCAAGCAGGACAGCCGCCTCATGGTGCCCACAGCACTGCAGCCCTGCGTCTCAGTGCTGGTCAGAAAAAGCAACGAAGCTTTCTATAGGAATGGCAAGGTGCAGTGAAGTTTGCAACTGTGCAGTTGGATGAAGAAGCCTTTCCACCTTTCCAATCAACTCACCAGTCACCAGTCAATGGGTGACAATCAGGACAACCAACTGCCCTTGACACATTCTTGTGCTGGCTTTAGCAATGCCTCCTCTCAGTTGCTGCTAGGGACCGTTAGCAGAAACTCTGTGCCTCTTCCTCTTGCTGGCAGAGCACTGCTTAAACAAGTCGGGGCTAGCTGCTGTCTTTGTCAGATAGGACCGCGAGCTGTGTCTGAATTTGAGTCTGAGTCTGGCACCCAAATCTTCCCCGCGACAGGGGTGTCTATGTTGACTACGTTTTTTTCATTGAGATCGATGTGCTGTGCAAAGAACAAAGTCGTATTCAGAAGCTACTGCGCTGTATTCAGAAACTAGTCTTCAGAAACTATTTCCTTGTATTCAGAAACTGTCGGATTCAGAAACTATTTCGTGGTATTCAGAACTATTTTTGTCGTATTCAGAAACTACTTTGTGGTATTCAGAAACTTTTTCGTGGTATTCGGAAACTATTTCCTTGGTATTCAGAACTATGTTCCTCCTATTCTGTAAAATTTGTGGGGGTAGGGTGGGGGGGGCAATAAGCATAGGTGGGTAGTTGCGTGAACAGTTGATAATCTCCGTGAATAGTGTTGGTGTTGCTTTTCGTAGTTTCCGAACATTAGCTTTCAAATGCAACCGTCCAGTTTCCGAATAAAGCCCTCCAGTTTCCGAATACAACCAACCGTCCAGTTTCCGAATACCAGTTTCCGAATATAGTTCTGTAGTTTCCGAATACAAGTACAACCGCCCAGTTAAATAAAACCCTACAGTTTCCGAATACAACCGTCCCACTTTCCGAATGTTTAGTTTCCGAATACAACCGGGCAATTTCCGAATATAAGTTTCCAAATCCCACGCTGTAGTTTCCGAACAGATATCAGTTTCCGAATACAACCGTCCCAGTTTACAAGTTTACAATCGTTTAGTTTCCGAATGCAACCGTGACCGCTGTGCAAAGCCGACATGAGTTGGCACACTGTTTCAGATCCTGACCCTCAATATTGATTTCAATCATGCTTCTCATCGCGTGCTTTGTGCCTAGTTTTGTGCAACACCTGGGGCGTGAGCTGCAACTGGTGGCGGCCAGAGAGCAGGCCATGCTGGAGTGCGAGAGATCACTGAGGAGCGGGTTTCAACATGATCGGCGGTAGACCCAGCAGACTCTAGCATTCTTCTATCCATAAATCCATAAATATATAAATAGATGTTTAGAAATAAGGCACACACACATATAGTATGTATATATATATATACATATATACATTGTATATATATATATACATAAACATTTACATACAGACAGGACGCTCCTTTTGTTGCTCTTCCAAGGAGTCAGACGGCACCCTTGCATCAATTTCTTTGAGCCCAATTATGTTCATTTCTTAATTGGTCCCATCGCACCCGGTGCTGTCCCATGCTCTCAAATCCATCCATGTATCCATGTATCCATATCCATATCCATCCATCCATCATTCAGGCTTTAGGGCGATGCAACAAAGTTAGGCCCTTGGCGAGGAACATATGGATACGCATTTTCAAGGTCCAAACCGCGCATGACATGGAGCCATCATCCTGCTGGCGTCCTGTGGCCGCAGCCAGATGCATTTGAATTTGATCATTGTTGCAGCCACAGCCAGACTCCCAGTAGGTGCTTTGAGCATTCACACTTGCTTTTGCCATGCAGCCAGGCTGATTGGCCTGGTTGGGTGCTGAGACATGCCGCACAGTGGGTCAGGTTCTGGTGGCTTCGTGCAATGCCATGGCCGAAGCATGCATCAGAAAAGGTTTGAAACGCAATTTTGCTTGGCTTAACTCAGGGGATTGTTGAGAGCTTTGCTTTCTCTTGCCGATTTGGCTGTTTCTTTGAGCCTTGCATTTCTCATGAAGATCCACAGTCATCTCTAGGCCTTCAGCTCCTGCAGCTTCCCAAGCTCTTGGGTCCGTCTTTGCCAAGCAAAGAGCTGGAGGAAGCCCACAAAACCACAGATGTGGGGTAGTGGGTACTGTGTATTGCACCTGAGGGCATGCAAATATTATATAAGTTGTATCACCTGTGGGTGTGTGTGACAACCTGGCATTGGACGCGCATGGCTTCAACTTGGCCAGTGCAGAAATCCACAAACCAAGGCGAAAGCTTTGTTAGATGATGAGGCCTTTTTTTGTGGCCAGGATCAGCGGCTGAAGACAGCAAAAGAGAATGCTATGCCAGAGCGGTTGCTCACAAAAATGCAGGACTGGGTTCACGTGTTATATTTTGTGCTTGCGTGTGAGGCTGATAGCAAGTGTTGAACTAGGTGAAGCCAACCTCCCCTTGAGGCCTTGGCACGCTATTTGGCTGACTTGGCAGTGGCCAGATGCACCCAGAGGAAGCTGAAGGATTTGGGAAGATATGATCATTACCGTGTTTTCACAGAAGCAAGTTGCTGTAGCATGTTTTGTAGCAAGGCCTGCCATTTTCTGATGAGGTCCACAAGCCCAGCGATGTCTATGGGGACAAGCTCTCTCCAGCTGTACTTGCCGTGATAGTCCCTTCGATGCATCCACCGTTCCACCCAAGTTGATATTTATTGACAAGCTGAGATGTGTTTTGCTGTCATTTGCCAGATTTTTGCAGGTCATCGGTTCAGCCGGTTGATTCACCCCGCAGACCGCAAGACATTTGTCCAAGAGTCTGTTTGACACCGGAGAGGGTGGTTGGGATTCTTGCTGGTCTTGCACCTGGACTTTACTTGTGCAAAAAAAGTTGCCATCAATTGCCTGAGGTTTTGAGGTTGTCTCTCCATGCTTGGGGTGCAGCACCGACGGGATGCGAGGCAACCAGCTTGGGCTGGGCAGTTTTTGGAATAGCTGGACAAGGCCTTTGCATGTCTTCATCAAGACACCTTTGTGGCACAAGGTCAGCACGAGTTTGCATTGAATTGAATTGCGGCAGCGCGGGATGCTTGTATATGCACTGTATACAAAGAATATTTTGACACACCTTGTGCACCTGATGGCTCTAGAATAGCTGTTGCAGGCACGACTGGATCAGTTGCAGGCAGGGCTAGCTTGGTGGGGTGCCTACGTAGAAAACAGCAAGTCGTAGGCCTGTGCAGAGGTAGGAGGCAACCGAGCTAAAACATACAAGAGGGCAGAGAAATGATCAGCCACGATGCAACAATACTGCGTCAGGGAAATTCACAACTTGTTTCTTTCTGAGAACTTCATCATAAATAGTTAGCAATTTTCACATTTTTCTTCCAACACCAGCGACTAGTGGCCAGGTCAGGAGTGATGCAACTGTGTGTCTTGCACAACCTTAGAAGTGTAGCACATCAGAGCTAGTTTCAAACTGACCTCTTCACAAGGCAGAAGAGGGAGTGATGAAATCAAGCTACCTACATGTACATGGGTTGATGGACAAATTGATGGTGGATTTAGACGTCTCGACAGTTGGGACTGTAAAGAGCAGATGGGCATATTTTTGAATGGTAGTGCCTGGCTCACATGAAGTTCCCAAAGCAAGGATGTGACGGGATGTGTGCATGGTTCTTTTACCTTCAATTCATGGTCATTTTTCAACAGGGAAGAGCCATAGAATGAGGCTGCTTGGCACACAGCTTCTTTGGTTAAGGAGGAGCTGGACATGCCGCAAGCCTCCAAAGACGAACAGGAACGGCTGCTGGTGTGGGAGCTCAGAGGAAGTCAAATTGAAATTTGACGCCGTGTTGCGTCTACACTCAGATGTGAAGCAGGCATAGCTGTCACTGCTTGACTAACTTCTGTCGAACAGCCTGCTTGTTATCGTGGTAGACCTGAGGCCGGAGTTTATCGCCTTTGGATGCGGGCGCCAATGCCGTCTCCAGCAGGGGGTCCTCAGTTTAAAGTACGGGGCCAGGGTGGCAGCCTAGATCAGCCCGACGATTTGCTGTCCAAAAGAAAGACTAAACTCAAGTAATAGAAAAGGGAATGAAGAGAGACTGACCTGTGCAGAGAAGAAACGAGGCTTGAAAAGGGGACGAATGGATACGAATGCGCACAGCCGGGCCGGGTGTTTGTATAGGTCCTGCACAGGCTTCAGTTTCTCGAAGCGTGCACCACGTGGTGCTGGGAGCTGTCATGAAACATCAACAGACTTCGAGCCTGGGCCTTTTTCAATATGCAATAAGGAAAGTGCTTTGTCAGCCTTACCCAACTTTTGCAGGTTGTTGCGCGTTGGCAGAAGCGGGACCTCTTTGACAAGTTGCCTGGAGCCCCGACCCAGGTGGGGTTTTAATGCAGGTGCATCGTTTACAGACAGAGTGCACCGTCGCGCTCAAGATGGGCATTGGGCATAGCATGGTATACCCCATCTTTGGGCACCACATTTGCGTGCTGAATCCAATGCTCACACACACAGACACACACACACACACACTTTGTCTACTTTGTGGAGAGGTAAGGGAACACAACTCAATATAAATACTAGGGGGAGCAAGGATGTTACTAGGGGCTCCTGGCCTTACTACTCGGAACAAGGACGCTATTAGGGTAATGTTCAACAGCGTGCTGAAAGTCCACCTCCTGCGAAACAGCGGCGATCCGTCAGAGAACTTCTGGACTGATAGAGAACCCAAGTCATGAGACTTCGACTACGACATGTGTGTTCACAGTTTTTGCAGTTGCTCACTATCCGACAGATCTATGATGACATTAATTTTGGATTGTCATGTGCTTTGCACTTTTGGATCGGCTTCGCCAGGAAGCTTTGCCACCGGAACTCCAGGAGAGCTGTTTCTTCAATACCCCGTGCCCGAAGCTTTCGAAGCTTCGGAGTCTCCGCGCTTTGGGTGCTTAACGCTTTGGAGGGAGCTGAAATTGACCATTGAGACGTTGAGGCCGCGTAAGCCAACACCGGAAGAGCATACCTAGATGGAGTGTCCTGGACTCTTGGGAGCTTTTAGGCAATCAGATGACGGGATCGTGCCTCATAATTACTCCTAGGTACCCACCCCATGGGTGCAGAAATGGCGTGTGCTCATATCACCCTCAACACAGGTACAAGAAGAAGCAGGAGCCAAAAGATCTCTCGGCCACACCTGGCCAGTCTCCCAGATAGATGAGTTCCATGCTCAACGGAATTGGTGATTTCGGGCTAAGGGGTATACTTGGGCTGTGGCCCCCGCTTGTGCAAGAAGGGTGACAGGGTCGTTAATTGGATAAGTGTGGCAACAGTGCGACAGCGTACGTGCGCTCACCACATCAGGTGCAGCCCCTGAGCAGGACTGGTTCTTTGGAATTGAGAGGCCGCAGAGTCGCCACAGAGAAGCGTGAAGGGAAACAGTAGCACAAACTGTGATAAGTGATAGGTGCATATAAACCGGCGGGATGAGCGTTGGTCCTTTTTTGGCGGCATAGCCATGGCACAGCTCCTGTCACACAAACGAGCCTTGCATACCTGCGGGCACAGGGAGTTGAATCACCAAATTGAACCTTACATCCCACTCACTATTCCTAAGAAGACTTCATCGTGACAAAGCGTCTCACATTACAACGATTCACTGATCCCAAGTCATGGATTCGACAGCAAGCATGCGTCATTCTATACAATCCAATTGAAACATTGAAACGAAGGAGGGCACCTGGACACAAACTCTAAACTGGCAGTGAAACCTAGCGGCAAAGGGACATTAAATCTATCCTTGAGGTGCCCGTGTTAGCCATCAATTTTGGACATCATGCAGGAGGATATCCCGAGATCAGTAGCCTCTACAGGAGCCAGGGCCAAATGGTGTGGAGGAGGAGTGCAATGAAGACATGCTGACAGGTGGGGTCAGAAAGTTGAATTGGCTTAGGCGGGCGCTTTTTGAGAAGGAGCTGAATGAGTCCATACCGGGGTGGATGAAGATCTAAACTCGGATATAGGACGAGTGCACAGCTGCCCTAGAAAAGTCACGTCAATGCAAGTTGTGGGCCTCGCACCTTGAAGGCACGCAAACTTTTCCTGCAGGCCAACAGCCTTTGTGTCGCGAGTTGGCTCTGGACAAGGTCGACGAGCCAGAAGCGAGTGAACTTGAGGTGGGAGGGTAAATGGTTGAATCATTCTTAGGCCGTGCTTGGCAGGGTTGTCATTGATGAACCACAGGACCGGCTACAGGTCCGGCCCGTGCAGAGTTCAATGCGAGATTGTCCAACGCTCGCCATGGCTGTATGTGGGTTTTAAGTCTAACTACACCGGTGAAAACTAACATTTTGGCAAAAAAAAGAAATTGGCATATGTTAGTCTAGTTTCCGAGCGGACACCGTTGAGACTAACCTAGACCAAATTCAGATGTGCCATGGTGGGCCCTACGGGTACTTGGCATGGTCCATGTTAGCCTCCACCGGGCTATGTTGACCTTTGCCAGCACGGTCTATGTTAGCCTGCGTTCAGTTTATAGTCAGGGTGCAGTTGGTCCATGTTAGTGTCAAAATCGATCATAGACTGAGAGTAGGAACGGTCCATGTTAGCCACACGCCTGACTCAGGTTTGTGGAAGTTTGTGTCAGTGTGGACCAGGGACTCCAGGGACTGAGAGTGGAAGTGGTCTATGTTAGCCACACGCCTGCTCCATGTTAGTGAGGGTCCAGAAATTGCCAAAAAGGCGCTAATACCGTTTCCCCAGGAAGTCACCGTTTCCAGTGGTCCATGTTAAAGCGCAATTGAAATTGAGATACGGTCTATGTTGTTTTTCCCCGGAGTATATAATTTTGCAGTCATTCGAAGCACTCGGAGTATGCGCGACCTGGACAGGTGAAGATGGACCTTGAGGATGTCGCTGTCACGACCCAACCTGCGGATGAGTTCAATGCCAGAACGGAGGTGACAAATTGTGAGGCAGGGGGAGGGTTGCAGAAGTTCGTATAGCCTTCCCAGAGCAAACCAGCAGGAACAATTCTTTCAAACTTCCTGCGGGCGATGGCTTGCAGTCCCATCCCTTTGACTGTTGAACGACTTGCATGCTGAAGGGCCACAGTGTGGAGCAACTAGCGGAGAGCTGCCAGATGGTCGAGGCCAAAAGGGGGCTTGAAGCTTGTGCTCAAAGATAGGCTAAAAGTTAAAGCCTGCACTAAAGTGTTTCTTTCTCAAGTTGGATTCTTGATTCTTGTCCGCCCAAGCTGTTGACTCTGGCTTGCAGAGAAAAGCTTTTTCAGGTTCACATGGAACTTGTGCAGGAGGTTGGGTTGGGGGGTTATGGGCAGAGCAGCTTGCCAAGCCAAATGTGGAGCAGCTGGGTTCATGCAGCTCAATCCAGCACATGACCGAAATTGGACTGGTCGCCAAATTTGGAGTTGCTTTTCGAGATTGCATGACCACATGGAATTGCTGGCTGGCCTTGCCGATGTTCATTCGATCCTTTGTTTCAAGTCTTCCATTCGCAGTAACCCCAACAATGCCCCCTTCGGACAAACTAGCATGTTTCTAAGGGCTTTAAAGGACCTTTGCCAGACAGAGGTGAACAGAAGGACCTCCTGTAGCGGCCTAGGTTCTTGCACACTAGCGAGTGGTTTCAACCCGCTAGGTCCTTGTGCCTGTCAAGAACTTGCACTATGTCACTATATGCTCACCATTGATTACTCATGTAAAGTAGATACCAGGAGCTTCCACAGCTTTTGTATTTTGTGCTTTGTGATGGCCTGGCGTTTGCGCTTACTTCAAGGGCAAGCTTTAAGGCTGTTGGTGCGAGGTGCATCATCGAGTGCACGACGGGTGGATCAGCTGCCAATTCCTGAAGTGATGAAGCTTAGTCATCCAAACCTGATCTGAACTTTTTGTTGGGTCACACCGCCCATATTTGTCTTCATATATAATTCTGCAGATTTTGCTGAGCTATTGGGGTTCTTGGGGTTTGGGATTCTTATATACTTCAAGCAAAGGAAGAGGTGCCTTTGTGCGCTTTGGAGCCTGGGTGCTGGCGCCGCTGCAGGGTGCTGCTGCCAGCTTAGGTGCTGGTGCCGCTGCAGAGTGCTGCCGCAGGGTGCTTCTGGGAGGCGGCCGTGTGTGCTTTGGAACCTGGTTGTTGGTGCCAGTGCAGAGTGCTGCTGCAGGGTGCTGCTGCAGGGTGCTGCTGCCAGATTATGGGGGCGTGCGCTTTGGAGCATGCTGGTGCCGCTGCAGGGTGCCGCCGCTATGGTGCTGCTCCCAAAGTACTTTAGCATTTTTTATTGGGGTCTATGTTGCTGTAATGGAAGTCAAAGCTAGGCAAGGGCCAAAGGGATTTTGAACATGGAAGGAAGCAGAACCTGCTCGGCATGGGCTTGACAAGGCTCTTTGATATCCAGTCGAAGGCGTTCGAGCCGATCCTACGTGGGAAGAACTTTGTTGGGCGATCCAAGACCGGGACTGGCAAGACCGTGGCTTATTTGCTGCCATTGCTTGAGCGTATGCGTCACGAAAAGATGACCATGGCTCATTCGTTGGTGATTCTGGTTCCCACGCGGGAGCTTTGCAAGCAGGTGGGAAGTGCTATACTATCACTATCCGTACATTCTGATGTTGCGTTGATTTATGGAGGGCCTTCTATGGAGTCTCAGGAGCAGCTGGTGCGCTTGGGTGCCACAATCATTGTCGCCACTCCGGGACGTTGTGCTCATTTAGTCCACCGGGGTGCAATTGAGACACAGAATGTTAAGTGTCTCGTGATTGACGAAGCCGACGCCATGTTTGGGCCAGAGTTTTTTGGCAGGGTGGAACGGGTCCTGAATGCCGTGGCGAAGCAAGGTTTGCAGCGCGTGTTGTTTTCCGCGTCGCTTCCCGGGGATGTGCTGGGACTGATTCAGAAACATTTTCCTGATCACGAGCTTGTCGATTTAGTGGACAGGCATGGAAAGAGTGGGGATGCAGTTGTGCAATCTGTAGACCACCGCCTGTGCAAGGTTCAGGACAGAAGGCTTGCGTCACGAGCTCGAGTTTTACTGCATGTTCTGAGCGAGAGGTTGGATACGGCTGGGGGGCGCTGCATCATTTTTGTAGATACAGCCTCCGAGGTCAGGTCTTTATTGGTCCATCCAGCATTGGTGCATCGGGCTCAAGGCCTCCACAGTGAGTTGAGTGTGCAGGAACGCGATTCTATTCTGACAGCCTTCGCAAACATGCAATTTGATGTTCTAGTGGCCACCGATGTTGTTTCTCGTGGTGTGGACTTTGTAGATGTGAGTTTGGTGCTACAGCTGCATCCTCCCAAAGAAGCGGTTCAGTACATACATCGATCTGGTCGGACTGGACGTGCCGGAAAAGCAGGCACATGCATCACTTTCTATGATGGATCCGAACGGAAGTTTGTGCAGCGCATGCGGGAGGTCACAAAGCATGACTTCTCAATGCTGCCAGTGCCCGGTCCCATGGACATTCACCATGCTTCAGTCAGCAGGCTGCTGGAGCAGATGTTTGGTGTCCAGCCTGAGGAGTATGAGCAAGTCATGGCTGAGGCATCGCAGCTCCTGAATGAGCATGGCTCACAAGTTCTTGCAACAGCCATGGCCGTGTTGGATAGTCGGCACGCAGATCTGCAGCGCGCTATCCGTGACCGACCTTCCTTGCTAAGTGGACGCAAGGGCTATTTGTGCCTTGTGGCCAATGATCCAGACCACACCGTAGCCACCAGCGAAGGTGAAGTACAGCGCATTGTGGGCTCTCTTTTGCCGAAGCAGGCCACCATCGGCCGAGTGGCGCGGGTCAAAGGAGGTTGGGCGCTGGATGTGGAGCATCATCATGCGAGTAGGTTAATCGAAGACCTCCGAGCTGGCAAATGCTCTGCTCCTTTTGAGCTGGTCGTTGTTCAGCGGATGCCACGCGTTCTGCGCATGGCTGGACGGAAGCGAACCAAGAATGCACCGTGGAGAGCTCAGCAGCGCTGGGCCTTCCGAAAGATGCACGAAGGCAAAGCCGCGCAAAAGTGGAGCTTTGAGATCTTTGAGCTGCATTAAATATCTAATATCTCTCTCTATCTCTCTTTATCTATAAAAAAATATATATATATAGATAGTTCAGTGGGGGCTTCGAATTCAGAAAGGTGACATGATTGAAACCGCCCACCTAAATATGTGCATATGCAGATTCTGAAAGCCTCTCTATTGATATAATGTCCAGGCCTGGGGTTGTGGTGGATGTTGTGTTCATTGGGCCATGCTGATTAGAGATGGGTATATACATATATATATATATGTATATATATATACACACTCTCGAAACTCCTGCTAGAAGCCAACAGTCTAATTGTGGTTGGGGTTGAAGTCGTCTCAACCATGCGTAGGCAGAGTCGATGGATGTCGATGAGGAGCTGCTGATAGACACTCAGGTGAGAATGGGCTCTTCAGTGCTCAAAGGAACAGTTCTGTTCTGCATTACCTTTATGGAGAAGCTATGAATGTCTCATGAAGCCACTAGTTAGCTGCTAGTTGGTGGTAGTTGCTAGATGAAAAGAACAAGGGTTGTGAAGGGTGGAAGTTGAGCTCAAAACTGCTGCTGCTGCAATCTAAAGTTCTGAAGTCTTTACTGTATGTGCCTTTTCGCTAATGAGTCTCGAACACCTTCGCCAGGACACTGTTGCTGAAATCGTTAAGTCCAAACCGGAGGTGTGCGAGACCAGCAGTGCCTTTGGACATTCAATGTAGTTTAAGGTGGAAATCCCTCCGCAGGAGTTGATTAAGAAAACACACCGTCAGAATGGCAATGTGCTTGTGCTGGGACAAGACGAAGACAGTGTTACTGATGCTGGCTGGCTTTGCGTGTGAGTCTGCCGCTTATTAGTTGGACCAAGTGCGAAGTGCACTCTACAAAAAGATCTACAAGATATTTTTGTATCCCTAGTAGCGATGCTAGGAGCCCCTAGTAGCGTCCGCCAGGAGCCCCTAGTAGCGTCCTTGCTCCTAGTAGCGATGCCAGGAGCCCCTAGTAGTAAGGCCAGGCGCCCCTAATAGCGTCCTTGCTCCTAGAGGGCCGCAGGATGCATTGCTATTCTTTTTGGGGGGTTCGGAAGTCACCCTTGACCTCCTGGTTTTTGACGAGTAACCACGCCTATAGCATAGCTTTTCACGCATGCAGCTAATCTTTGAGCTAGCTGAGAGTACTGCAGGAACCAATAAGTTCCTCAGAAGGAGAACCTCAAAAAGTCGCGGACTTCAGAGCAGCCAAGGCAGCCAGGCTCCTGGATCTGGTGATCTTGACATTTGAGTGTTTGCTTTTGGCTATCGCGTTGCAGCTTTGTCATTGAGCAAGGGCGAGACCTACTGTAGTCCCATGGCCAGGGCATCTTCACGCTGAGGCCAGGATTGAAGCGCTGCAGCCAGATCCCAAAGCTTCTGCCATGGTTCGCCCAAATGTCGAAGGTTGTGTTGGTTTGGAAGGAGTTAGGCTCAGACAAACTGGGGCAAAGCCCCAGAGACTGATGGTTTCCTTGCTGCGAGGCGGCCTTCCGCCAGAAGTTGCGAAGAGCTCGGCTTGATTCAGCTGTTGCTGTTGTATTTTCAATTCTTCGAGCTTAAGCAATGCGGAATCAATCAGGATTGCCGTGGCATGTCCAAATCTCCTCCAAGCCTAAGCCGTGCTGTTTGATTGCTTTTTTTCCACCTCCCAGGCTTAGATTTTATATATCAGATCACAACTGTAAACTCCTTCTCCTTCTCTCCTGGAGAGCGTCAGATTGCAACTGCGAGTGCCAGATCGCAGTGGGCACCGCCCGACCTCAACCGTGAGCGCTAGATCGCAGTGGTCACCACCAAACCTAAACATGAACCAGATAGAACTCCAGAAAGAGCCAGAAAGAGCGCCAGAAGAGATGCCAGATAGAATGACACAATGTCAGAACATATGCCAGAAAGAAAGCCGAAAGAGTACCAGAAAAAATGCTGGAACACATACTGTACAAGGTAGAATGCCAGAACCTATGCCAGATGGAATGTCAGTTTACATGCCAGATTAAATGTGGGAATGTGTTGAAGGAATGTCATACTGTAATATTGTGCCGGCTGCTTTGGCCACCTCACTGTGACCCAACCTGGGTCAGTTTTGTTCTTCTCTCTGTGCTTTACCCCTTCCGGCGGTCGATTCAATGCACAGGGCAGCAGTGAAGCAGCGAGCCCCAGAGGCAGGCCCATGTGCAGCCAGAATACATAGGATCACTCAAAGCAAAGAAACTTGCGCACATACTTCGTGTTACGAACATTTAGGAAGCATATGAGTACAAAGTAAGGGCGGAAGTCCCAGTTGCACAGTAACGGTTGCATAAGTCCCTGTCAGCGTTGCAGAGTAACAGTAGCGTAAGTTACCTTTGCACAGTAACAACATCATGTGTAACTGGTCTCCCTTGCACAGTAACAGTATTTTCCGTCACCATTGCACGACAACAGTAACAACAGCACGTCACCATTGCAATAAACTCTGTAGCGGCGGTAACGGTTGCACAGGCTGAGTAGCTGCACAGTGACAGCAGCTAAGTAGCGGTCGCGCAGTAACAGTAGCACATTAAGAGTGTCATAAGTAAAAGTTGCACAGTCACAGAAATGTAAGTGATAGTCACAGTCACATTCACAGTTGAAATGGCAAAAATGCTCGTTGAGATAGCACAAATGCTCTCTTTGAAGCATTGTTGGCATGTCAAAAGTTGAGGAGGCCTCGAACGAAATGCTCCGGAATGGCAACATTGTAGATCATTGTAGTAAGTAGTGCGGCGAGTGGCTGGTGTGGCAGCAGTGGGCAAAGTAGCATCGGTGATGTTGCTGTGCAAAACATTGTATATGCGGCACGCTGCTAGGGAGCAGGAGGTGTCAATTACACTAAATAAATACAATTGGTGTTGCTTTGTTGCACCGACCATATGTCAACCGATGTGGCAAAATTGCGTTTTTGAAGTCGTCGCTCCATGTGGTTCGTCCTCAAAGAGGAAAGTGCGGTTGTGTGGCTCCATGCCATTGTGGAACTGCAACAATGCGTATGTAAATCCATCGTGCAAACACGGCGTGTCGCTGGTGAGCAGGAAGTGTGAATTACACTTGGAAAATGGTGTGCCCAAAATATGTCGTTGAAGTCGTTGTGATATGTGGTTTTTGGAGAGTCTCGTTGCCAGTGGGGGACGGGAACCATGCAGTGTAAATCCACCGAGTGCAATGCAGCGTCGGTGGTGAGTGGCATGATTGGTCATGTTACTTTGTGGCAGAGGGCTTCGAATTTACGTCGATGATGTTGCGGTGCCCTACCGCTTGGCAAAGCCTGGGCGACAAGCTTGTTTGGCTTCCTGCCACTTGGGACTGGAAACCGTGAGTGTTTGTATGCGGCTGTCGCTGGTGAGCTGCATGGTTGTCGGTGTCGTCCCGCGGCCAGCTGTCGCACGGGACACTTGTTGATGTTGATCTATATAACGAAAAAAAATAGGTTATGTCGGGGCTTTTTGAGTCTCACGGTACCCTCTTAGACACTTCTGCCCCGACTTTCCCAGGTAATGACTACCTGTCTACGTACTGTTGTTGGGTGCAAATGTGAGCCAAGCCTCGTGCATCAAAAGTTGATGAGCGGTACTCGACCAAATGGATGAAGTATGACCGGTGACTGCAAAACTCTACGCCTTGTTCGTGCTTTCAACTGTGAATTGGAAGATGTTCGCTAGATTGCCTAGGCTGCCAAGGAGGTCAGCTTCAGGTGCAAAGGGGTCCGCTTCGTGAGGGCGTGAAGGAGGGCACCGACAGTTTCGAAGCAAACAAACGCAACCCTTCCCTTTTGTTAAGCCATCATTGTTTGCAGAAAATTGACCCAACAACAAGACATACTATCAATATCAATGTTTTGGCAGTGCCGTTTCCATCGAAGAATGGTACACAACTGCAGCCAATCTCGGTCAGCGGTTTGCCGCCGCCTTTCCCTTGAACATCTAACTTGGTCCTTTGCGCATCATGGGCATCGACATTGAGGCTGGTGGCCGGAAGAAGGTGAAGAAGCGTGAGGTGAAGTCCATGAACCCATATCTGCGGCTGCTGTGCCAACTTTACAAGTTCTTGGCACGACGTTCAGAGTCCAAGTTCAACAAGGTCATCTCCAAACGCTTGAACATGTCCAACAGAAACAGGCCTCCACTGTCATTGTCCAAGCTCATCAAGAACATGCAGAACAAGGAGGGCAAGATTGCCGTTGTCGTGGGCAAGATCACGGATGACAAGCGTGTTTACGACGTTCCTGAGTTGAAGGTTTGTGCGCTTGGGTTCACTGAGACAGCTCGTGCTCGCATCGTGAAGGCCGGTGGTGAATGCCTCACCTTTGATACCTTGGCCATGCGTTCTCCTTTGGGCAAAGGCACAGTGCTACTCCGTGGTCCAGTGAAGGCACGTGAGGCTGAGCGCCACTTCGGTAAGGCTCCAGGTGTTCCCAACTCCAAGACGGCACCCTATGTGCGCTCCAAGGGACGGAAGTTCGAGAAGGCCCGTGGTCGTCGTCGATCCCGCGGCTTCAAGGTCTGAGAGGCTTTCAGCACACCGAAAGCAAGGAAAGGCCGGCCTGCAAAAAGGACCCTGCAAAGCTCTGGACACTGTTTGTAAATTCTAGATCATTTGCTGCATGCTGCACTCGATTCTACTTGCTGTGAAGCTGTGATGCAGAGTGCCGCGACATTGCCACAAGCACGTAAGCCTAGCATGTGATGTATGCGCAATCATTTTCTGGCTCGAGCATTTTCTGGCTGGCTGCAGGTCTCCTCTGCCACCATGCGGCACCTATCAGGTCCCGCATGCGCATCCGTGCGGGACTCCAGGATGGGAGCCAAGGCCGCCAGGATGGACCACAGGTGCCAGAGCTCAAGAGCTTGGCATCATTGGGATTGCAGCCGTCTTTGTTGGAGGTGCAGTCTGCCTTGTCGCCATACTGGAAGAGCTGGAGTGAAGCACCGCAGAAGGCAACTGTGGTCTTGCGGAGACTGGCCAAGGAGAACATTACACTGGCCTTAATGGTCCTTAGTTGCATGAGATTGAGTAAGGTTGAGGCGAACATCAGACATTGGAACCCCATCATTTTTGAGTATTCACTAAGTGAGTGGCTGCGAAGTTTAGAGTTGCTTCTGTTGGCCACGAAGACCGCAGCTCAACC